TCTTACCTGTCTAGCAATTTTCCCTCCTCTCCCCTCCCATCCCTGGTAACCAACAGATATAGTTTCCTTCCATGTAAATCTTTCCTTGACTTTTTACAATAGTGCACTCATACAATATTTGCCCTTCTGTGATTGACTTATTTCACTCAGCATAATGTCCTCTAAGTTTATTCATGTTGTGAGATGTTTCACGGTTCTTCATTATTCTTCAGTGTTGCGTAGTATTGTATTGTGTGTATATATCATAGTTTGGTTAACCCTTCATCTGTTGATAAGCACTTTGGTTGTTTCCATCGCTTAGCTATTGTGCATAGTGCCGTGATGAACATGGGTGTGCATATATCTACTCATATCCCAGCTCTCGCTTCTTTAATATAAAAACCAAAAACCAAACTCACTGCCATCAAGTCAGATCTGACTCATAGCGACCCCGGTTTAGGTTTCCAAGGCAGTATCACTACGGAAGTAGATTGCCCATTCTTCCTTCCAAGGAGTGGCTGGTGGGTTTGAACTGCCAGCCTTCTGGTTAGCAGTCAAGTGCCTTAGACCCTATGCCATCCGAGCTCCCTTCTTTAGTATATATACCTAGTAAGGGGATTGCTGGATCAAATGGTATTTCTGTTTCTAACTTTTTAAGGAAGTACACCATACAGTTTTCCACATATCATTTTACAGTCTCACCAGCAGTGTATAAAAATTCCAGTCTTTCCACACCCTCGCCAGCATTTGTTCTTTTTTGCTGTTATTGCTGGGACAAGATGGTATCTCATTGTTGCTTTGATTTGCATCTCTCTAATAACTAATGACCTCGAACATTTCTTTATGTGTTTGCTGGTCACCTGAATATCTTCTTTGGTGAAGTGTCCATGTTTTCTGCCCATAATTGAGTTGTTTGCCTTTTTGATGTTGAGGTGTTGGAGTTTTCTATAAATTTCAGAGATATGTCCCTTGTCGGATATGTCTTTGCCGAATATTTTTTCCCAATCTGTAGGTTCTCTTTTTACTCTTTTGGAGAAGTCTTTTGGTGTACATAAGAATTTAATTTTCAGAAGGTCCCAGTCATCAAGTTTATCTTCTGCTGTTTTGCATTTTTAGTTATGTTTTATAGTCTATTTATGCCATATATTAGGGCCTTTCAGTTTGCCCCTAATTTTTCTTTGATGAACTTTATGCTTTTAGGTTTTACATTTAAGTCTTTTATATATCTTAAGTTAGTTTTTGTGTATGGTGTGAGGTATGGATCTTGTTTCATTTTTCTGCAAATGGATACCCAGTTTTGCCAGCACCATTTGTTAAAAGAGATTTGTCTTTTCCCCATTTAATGGATATCAGCCCGTTGTCAAAGGTTAGCTGTCCATAGGTGGACGGATCTATTTTTGTGTTCTCAATTCTGTTCCACTGGTCTATGTGTCTGTTGTACCAATACTAGGCTGTTTTGACAACTGTGGCTGTATAGTAGGTTTTGAGATAGGGGAGTGTGAAACCTTTTACTTTGTTTTTCTTTAGTAGTGCTTTGCTTTTCCAAGGTTTCTTTCTGTTCTGGTTACCTAGTTGCTGCTCTGACAAGAATACACCACAAATGCGATGGCCTTAACAAACAGGAGTTTATTCTCTTACAGCTTGGAGGCTTTAAGTCCAAGTTCAAAGTGCCAGGCTCTAGGAGCTAGGTGAAAACCCCTCAGCCTTGGACTTCAGCTCTGCCTTTTGCTTCTGGCCCACTGAAGCTAGAGGCATCTTTTCACTCAGGCAGCCACTGGCTGCTAAGGCTAACAAGCCCAAGGTTGACAAATAAAATGGCACAGTCCTGATGTTACCAAACTACACGGCAGGCCATTAATTCAAGTCCGTTGAAAGTCCCAAGGTCGGCAGAACATGGTAGGCTGATGAACAATGACACAGCTATGTGCAGGGTTCAGGCATGCCATAAGCCAGAGACCCGTTCCCAAAGCTGCTACTCATATACGGGAAGCAGACCACATACCCAAAGCAGCTGCTCAGCTGCTTATGGTAGATCCCACCTTGGAGCTGATTGCCAGTCTCATCATGGGGAATAACTACCACCAGCTGGCCAGCCACTCACCAGGCCCAGCCATGTTAACACACAAACATAACCACTACTCTTTCCTAGCCATATAAAATTAGTATTTTGTTTTTCCATGTCCTTAAAGAAAGCTGATAGAATCTGGATCTGGATTGCATTGAATCTATAGATTGCTTTGGCAATCTTACTGTCCTTGAGCATTGTATATTCTTCCATTCATGTAGATCTCACATAGTTTCTTGTTGTAATGTTTTGTAGCTTTTTGGGGTTTCTTTTCTTTTCTTTTCTTTTTTTTGTTATAGTTCTTTTGTGTCCTTTCAGGAGCTCTGGTGACACAGGGCCTAAGGCATTTGACTGCTAACCAGAATGTTGGCAGTTCAAACCCACCAGCCACTCTATGGAAGGAATACTGGGCAGTCTACTTCCATAAAGATTTACCACCTCAGAAACCCAGTGGGGGTTACTGTGAGTCAGAAGGACTTGATGGCAGTGAATTTGGTTTTTGTTTGTGTGTGTGTGTGTGTGTGTGTGTGTCTAGTTAGATTTATTCCTAAGTATTTTATGTTTTTGGCAGCTATAATAAATAGTATTGTTTCCCTTATTTCCTTTTCAGAGACTTCTTTGTTGATGTAGATGAATCCAACCAATTTTTGTGTGTTGATTGTGTATCTATCACTATGCTGAATCTTTCAATTAGTTCTAGTAGTTTTCTTGCTGAGTCTCTGGGATTTTCTATGTATAGAGTCATATCATCTGCAGATAGTTTTACTTCTTCCTTACCAGTTTGGTTGTCAACCTAGTCATTTTGCAGATGAAGTCATTGAGGCTCAGAAGGGGGAGTCATACTATAAGTTTGTGACCCAACTGGGACTACAATCGAGGTCTCTGGCCTCCTTTCCCAGTGCTCTTCCCGACACGATTCCAGCTGCTATACAAGGAAAAGACTGTTTTTAGTTTCAGTCTCACTAGCAGCAAAAAATGGCTGCATGGTGATGCTCATATACTTTATATATTCACTTTAAATGCTTAAGCACCAAGGAGTGTGTGGCTGAGTTTTTGTAGTTGAGCTAGGAATTGTGATTAGTGCGTCTTCTAGCTATGACTCAATGCCCTGGGGTTACTGTATTGAACCTCCCTGTCTGCAGCTACCTGTGTGCTGTTCGGTCTCTTGATTGGTTCTGGCTGGAATTTTGAAAAGCACCTTACATAATAAGTTTCCAGTCTCAATGCTCAAGTGGGTGAGGCTTACCCGGGTGGTTGCTCCAGGGAGAAAATTAAAAGGAGTGGAAGTAGGGAAAGGAATGCTGGGTTTCCAAACTAGGCTGTGTTAGTTTGTAAGGAGTCAGCCAGTAGACAAGCCAGGCCAGAGTACCTAGAAGTATTCATTAAAGATTTTACTGGTACCCTGCCTTTTTACCTGCCACTGCCTCTGAAGTAGCCTCTTCAAAGGTGCTTAGTAGACTCACTAGCTTAGAGGTAACAGGGACAAATATTTTCAAGACATCACTCAAACTCCAGTGCTAGGAGTCTCCAGAACAAATCCTGTTACCTCGTCAGCAGTGCTTTATGGCCAGGAGTGTGCATTTTAGAATCTGTTTATATCTCATGGTGAAAAACACTTTTTGCATATTTGAACCACACCCTAAAACACCAACTAAGTGATCTCATCCTCAACACAAAGAAAGTCCATAATGGCAGCTGTGGATATGATCCTATTAGATGTGACAAGGAATATTCTATTCATTTTGTCCCAATTTCCTTCTTTCCCATCAGTCCCCAGGGCCTCTTTTCTGTTTCATCATGCACTGTAATGATGTCAGCATAGGGTACTAGAAGGTCAGGTATCTGAGGAGGCACATTTGCTCAGTCATTTCAGAGACATTTACTGAGTACCTACCATGTGCTGTACTGCTGTTGGGCTCCAGAGAAGAGGAATTGTGATTAGTATGTCCCCAAGGGGCTTATAGTCTATGGGGAGGGACAGGTGGTTGAACTGACAGATATTGTACTGTCTGGGAAGTGCTATAATCAAGGTAAGGCTAGGTGCCTGAGGAGTGGCATTAGAATCAGCCTGGGCATCAGAGAAGACATTTTCTAGAGGAGAAACCTTGAAAGGGGTTCAGAATCAACAGGGTGGAAAATGATGGGTACAATATCCCTTCTAGGCAGCTAACAGCATACACAGTGATGCAAAAGCATTGAACTGGGGGCACTGCAATGGCAGATGTTGCAATATAGAAAGGGAGCTGAGGACCTAGTCACATACATAATTTTGTCTTGGTCCTGCCTTTCTCTTCTTTAAAATTCAGATGCTACCAATATGCTCATAGCTCAAAAGATTTGCTTATCCCAGTGTCCCAGGGAGCTGTGGTAGCATAGTGCCTAAGGCACTTGACTGCTAACCAGGAGGCTGGCGGTTCCAACCCACCAGCCACTCCTCGGAAGGAAGGGTGGGCAATCTACTTCCGTAGTGATACTGCCTTGGAAACCCAAGGAGGGGTCACTATGAGTCGGATCTGACTCGACGGCACGTAACAACAAACAACAACAACAGTATCCCAGGTACCTTTGGTGTCTGTATCACAGTTTCAGGAGATGCCTGAATCAGAATCTCTCCCCGACATTGCTCCATGGTGGCCTTTGGAGCTCTGGTGGCGTAGTGCCTAAGGCATTTGAGTGCTAACCAGAAGGCTGGTGGTTCAAACCCACCAGCCACTCCTCAGAAGGAAGATTGGGTAATCTACTTCCATAGTGATACCACCTCCAAAACCTAAGGAGGGGTTGCTTTGAGTCAGATCTGACTTGACAGTGAATTTGGTTTGGTTTGGTGGCCTCTGAGACCCCATCAGTCAGTCATTGCCACTCCTTTCCAAAGTCTGGTGAGAATGTGACTCACGCTGTCACCAACGATGCATGCTCAGTAAGCTTCCATTGTCTCACCCGCTCTTCTCTTTCTTAGGCATGAAGAAATCAATGATGTATAGTTCATTAAAACTACACAAAATGTGGAGAGGATGGCTGAGGAAAACCTAATTTTGCTTGCTTTTGTATATGTTATATAGAGATGAATAAAGTATTTCACCCTTTTTGACAGAACAGTGTTTGTTACTTTGACTCATTGCTTGATTTTGAAGATACCCTGCTTTGTATTTTATTTTTGAAAGGTATGTATTAGAATAAATATCAATTTGGATGAAGAGAAGGTCAGTGTATCAAATGTGAGTGATAACATGGTGGCATTGAGGAAGAGGAGGACATAGAGAGGTGCATGGGAGGTACAGACAACAAAGATGAACCTTTTTGCACATACAGTACTGCATTGTCAATGAAGGCAAACATTGATATATGGGTGGATAGAAGGGTAGACAAGCTAAATGATTAGATATGTCTATGCAGTGGAGAGTGTGCCCAAAATCATGTATAGGGTTGGCAGACAATGTTTCTACAAGTGTATTTGTATGTTCCGTAAGAATTTCAAGGTGTATAATAGAGCTGACAAGGGTCAAGGCTATAGTCACTTCTTGGCTACAGCCAGCTACCCAGAAGGAGTGAATAATTGGACCTATGGGCTCGGGACCATAGTCTCAGTGGACATCAAGCTCAGTTGGCATAACATACTACACAAAAATACTGTTCCACCTCTTACTTTGGCGAGTAGCAACTGGGATCTTAAAAGCTTGCAAGTGACCATCTAGATGCAATGATAGGTCTCTCCTCATCCAGAGCAAAGAATAATGAAGAAAACCAAAGACACATGGAAACAGTTAGTCCCAGCAACTGGTACACTATATGATCCTCAGTCTGTATGATTATGAGACCAGAACTAGATGGTGTCTGGCTACCACTAGCAACCACTCGGAGGGGGATCTCTGTAGGAGATCCTAGACAGAATTGGAGAACAATGTGGAACAAAACTCAAATCATAAAAATAATTTTTAAAAAAAGAGCAGGTTTACTGGTTTGATAGAGCCTGGTGACCCCTAGTTGCCCTTCAGGTCTGTAATTGAACCAACTCCTGTGGCTTCCAGCCAAACAAAAGACAGGCATAGGAACTGAACATTCACATTAGGTAACTACACTCCTTAGAGAGATCAATCTTGGGAGAATAGAAGGGCTGTGTATGCACAGGGAGACAGCTTGGGGGGGGGGGACAGGAGTGCATGGGAGGGAAGGACACAGAGAAGTGGTGGCTTTGGGGAGAAAGTGGGAGATGAGCTGTTGCATTGTGGGAATGTAGTCAATGTCATGAGATGAAGTGTATGTGAGCTGCTATATAGAAAGTGAATTTACTCAGTAAACTTTCATCCAAATCACAATAAAAATTAAAAAAAAAGAAAGAAAGGTATGTATTAGGCATTTATCCACGTGGGACTCAAATATCTTCAAGAGCTGAGCATCAGCAGGAAAGAGCCCATTATATCCCCCTAAACCATCTGAATCCCACTTTCATCAGAGCTTCACCATGGTCTGCATTCCCCAAGCCTAAGAGCATCAGCAATTTGACAACAGTATGTATGCTTGTCAATCAAGCAGTCCTGAGCTGATTGCAGGCTTAGGAAATTTGCCTCTGCCTGCCTGTCTTGTTCTTTCTGTTCGTGATCTCCCATCCTGTTGACTTATATTTTTCCCAGCAAGGCTTCAGAAGGATCATATCAACATCTTTCTGCCAATAATCCTGTAAGATAGATACAAATAAAACTGATGCTCAGAGAAGTTGGGTGATGTGCCCAAAGTCATACAGCTAATAAGTGGTAGAGCCAAGATTCAAATCACGTGGTCTGGATCCAGATATTGTACATTTAACCATTATGCTATACTACCTCTATAAGTACATGGCTCAGTAACTCAAAAACTCCCTGCTATCGAGTCAATTCCAACTCATAGCATTGTGTTCCCAAGGCTGTAAGTCTTCATGGAAGCAGACTGCCTTATCTTCTGTGGAGTGGCTGGTGAGTTTTTGGTTAGCAGCCAGATGCCTTAACCACCACACCACCAGAACTCCTTACATGGCTTAATAGGAGATAGCTATAATTGTTACTACTTTTGTTTGGCTAATATCTGTCTCTTAGTGTTCTGAATCTTTTATTCACTGCCTGTTGACTAAATAAAGCCTGGCAAGGAGGAGGGCATCGCCTCGATTTCTGACCAGCATTCCCTAAGACAGTATCTCATAATTTATAACTGTCTTATCTAACAAAAGGGAGCTCTGGTAGCATAGTGGCTAAGGCACTTGACTGCTAACCAGAAGGCTGGCAGTTCAAACCCACCAGCCACTCCTTGGAAGGAAGATGGG